TTAAAAGTCTGGCTCATTTTGGATAAAACCAATAACATCTGACGTTCTAAGAAAAGAGAAAATTTTCAGCCTGCAGCAAAGCTGATTCAACTGAATGTTTGATGTTCAAGACATCTGCTTTGGCTTTGAAACGGGCAGTTAAAACTTTACCAGAAGCAATCCACTTCTTTGAAACTGCTCTTTTGTACTGCAGTTGGAAAAACTAGTTTCAACCTTATAATGCTTTGAGGGGTACTTGGTGCTCTCCGAGCTTGGTTGTTTTCTTGCAGACATGCATTACTCAAGCTAGGTAACATCAGTGCAAGTAAGGATTTGCTCTTAATTTATATTCTAGTGCAGACATGTCAAACTCACGACATCACATGACGTCGCACAACGTATCGGGTCGGTTTTGCCATTGCCGGCAATGGGGTGGGCCCAGTTCCCAGATGATGTGTCTGGCCCACAGGCTGGCAGTTTGACACCCCTGTTCTAGTGGCTTGCCCTGAGATGTTGGTGGGAGTAATTTTGAAGATTCTTTGGTTGGGCTGCTTACTGCTCGCTTGTTTGGCAGTTCCTTGATTGGGGTATTGTTTACCTCTTGATTGTTGATCTGGTATTAATCTTGGTTAGACATCAGGCCAACAATCAAGAAGTAAACAATACCCCCCACTCCCTAGTAGCACTGATGGTGTTACCTCCTTTGGGTAATGAAACAACTACAAGAACACAACCAAGCTCAGAGAGAATGCCAAGGACCCCTCATTTCAACCCTGAGCTACAAATATTCTCCTTTATCAGTTATAGTGTTTTGTCCCTCCACTTCTCAGGTATTTGGAAAGTGATCCTGTGGTTAAAGAAGAGTAATCTGGCCATTTGGATGTTGCTGCCTTATTATCAGTAACCCTCATTATTGGCCAAGTTGGTAGGGATAGCTGGGAGCTATGCCAGTGTAAAATCTGGAAAGCTTTGGGTGCAACAGATAGCAATAGCATTTGGACTTATATACCGCTTCACAGTGCTTTACAGCCCTCTCTAAGCGGTTTACAGAGTCAGCCTACTGACCCCAACAATCTGGGTCGTCATTTTACCGACCTCGGAAGGATGGAAGGCCGAGTCAACCTTGAGCCGGTGAGAATCGAACTGCAGAACTGCTGGCAGTCGGCAGTCAGGAGAAATAGCCTGCAGTACTGCATTCTAGCCACTGCGCCACCACGGCGCTAGATGTTAGAAGTCCACGCTATTCTTCCTTCTCAAAAGAATTAATTGAACTTTGATATCATGTAGTCCGAAGAGCAGCCATCCTGAAAGGAAACTGCTGCTAACTATCCCAAGGCCAATGCATCTAAATATTCTGTATTCGTGCTTAGCTTGTGAACAACCACTTCAGAAACAAAACAGTTTCCCTAACAAACCTCATCATTCCCCACCTGCTAGAGGAAAATCATATTCTCAAATGTTTGAATTGTCATAAATCCCTAAGCTGTAACAGCAATGGTCATGTAAACAGTGTTGAAACTCCTCCAATGCAAGTATCCCGTTGAATGTACACAAGAGTTCTTTCAAAGGAAAGTCTTGTCTTCATACTTATTGACCAGATACAGTATTGACATTGTTTGTTGGCCCACAAAGAGATATGTATGCCCAAGGGAGTCAAAGGAGGCTTAATTCAATCCTTTCTTATACCATTGGATAAAATGATGATTCACACCATTGATGTTTTCTTCTGGAATATTAGTATTAGGGAAGACTACACATGGATGCATTTGCGCTGGACTTGGGCAGCCACTAAATTTCAAAGGACTGGAAGAGGGAGGATAAGGAGGAAGAAAAACAATTCCAATCCACTGCAAAGAGTTCATTCAGAACATATATTCAAATTTATGATCATGTATGAATAAAAACCATACAATTTTTTTAAAAAAGGAAAGTAAAGAGAAGCAATAAGTAAATAAATAAATCAGAGACAGAAAAGGAAAAAATGACATATCAGCTTCTGATCTTTACAGCAGCTATAAATGCATTTATATTTTGTCCTCTCTAAGGTTTCGTCCTTGTTTCCATATTCTACCTTTTCTAATTCTCAAACTCATCAATCACAAGTTAATTTGTGATTTCTTGCACCATCTTTGGATCTGCTCCAAAGATTCAGAGTGCCCCCGTGTTTGTCTTGACCTCACATAAATAAGTCCACCGGAATTGGTCTGCAAATCTCCAGACAACCAGTAGACAGCAGGAAAATATAGAAATCTATACCACACTGATATTATTTAATGGTTATGTGGATTTATATAATCCATGGCTGGTAGACCTAATCGAAGTTAAGGAAGGAGGAAGTTGGTTAATATTGTCAAGCCCTCTTTGCTAGTTCAGTCATGCTCAGAACAGTGATTAGAAACCCTTTATGGGTTTTTTTTTTTTTTACTTAAAATAGAAAAAAAATAACTTGTGATTTATGGGTTTGAGGATTAGAAAAGGTAGAACATGGAAACAAGGATGACACCTTAGAGAGCATAAAATAAAAATGCATTTATAGCTGCTGTAAAGATCAGAAGCTGATATTTTATGCCCTTTTTTCTTTTCTGTCTCTTTTATTTCTTATCTGCTTATTACTTCTGTTTATTTCCTTTTTACAACATTTGTCTGTTTTTTATTCACTAGCTGAGTGAAGGTGGGTAACAATATATTGTGATGGTCTTGCAGCTGGAGCAGATATATTGAGCACCAACTACATAAGGACACAGTACAGGTAGTCCTTGACTTACGATTCATTTAGTGACCGTTTGAAGTTACAATGTTTACAAAAATTAGTAAATCTGTCGTTGTTAAATGAATCTGACTTCCCCATTGACTTTGCTTGTCAGAAGGTTGCAAAAGGGCATCACATGACCCCTGCACACTGCAAAAGTCATAAATGTGAGTCAGTTGCCAAGCATTCAAATGTAAATCATGTGACCATGGGGATGCTACAATGGTCTTAAGTGTGAAAAATGGTCATAAGTCCCTGTTTTCAAGGTCTTTGTAACTTCCAATGGTCACTAAACAAACTTGCAAGTCGAGGACTGTACCTACAACTTGCAAATCTCCATTTCTGGTTATTGTTGCTTTCTGAATCGTAACTTCCTGACAGATCTGGGTATACAGATTCTTTGCTAGTGAGATCCTGTCCCGGACATTTGTTTTCTTATTTGGCTCACTGGAAAAGCAGCTCTGACTTGGAATGATTAGGCTTTGACTTCTAGACCATTTTGACTATTGAGTATTGTTCCAGATGCCACTAAGACAGTCTGATTGACTTCTGGATGCACCTACTGTTCATGAGCAGCCCCTTCTAGAATTACATCTCGAACTACCCAGCTAAATTTCTGTCTTTCCTAATTCTTAAGGATGAGCTTTCTGGGTAAATTTGGAAAAACGAAGGAATAAGACAGATTGGAGGAAGCATTAAAATCAGATTTTATTTTATTTTTTTTTTGCTGATCTCCTCTCTAGCTAAGCATAAGGATACAGAAGGTCAGCTGGCAAATTTGTGTTGAAGAACCCCGAATCTACCACCACAGCAAGCATGATCAGTATGCCAAGCTGCCTGCAGAGAAATGGCATGAGATGCCAGATTGAATTGGAAGGAGACCCAGGGTCAGAAGACACTCCTTACAGCAGGGTTTCTCCATCTGGGCAATTTTAAAATGTGTGGGCTTCAGTTCCTAGAATTTCCTGGTCAGCATGCTGTCCAAGGAATTCTGGAAGTTGAAGTCCAGACATTTTAAACTTGCTAAGGTTGAAAAACAATGGCCTACAGCAGTGTTTCCCAAACTTGACAATTTTAAGGCATGAGGACTTCAACTCCCAGAATTCCACAGCCAGCAACGCTGGCTGTGGAATTCTGGGAGTTGAAGTCCACATGCCTTAAAATTGTAAAGTTTGGGAAACACTGCCCTACAGTCTTATTTATAACAGTAATACAGTATTATTATTGTCTTGTGGGCTTCTAGACCCAAGCCCTTAAACTGCAGAATATAGAATTCTGAATTCAAACATAATGAACTATAATTCCTGCCTTTCCATATGTGTAGGGGATGCACGCATCAATGTGTCTCGGTGTAAATCTGTTCATACATGCATCCATCATAATAGCTTCCGAATCCCCCCCCCCTTTTTTTTAATCCAAGTTACTTGCCCTGGCAATTGAGTTTCTTTTTCAATTATTAGAAATGATTTTACATGCCATTGCAAATGATCAAATGTTTCAGCAGAGGAAAAGAAATGATAAAGCTTCTCAGGCCTATGATTTATGAAAACAATCAAAATCCAGATTAAAACAGCTTTGGAAAAACTATTAAAACGTTCAGGAAGAGAGATTCAAAATAAAAAACACAGGCGTAATGCAGCAATGTGAGATAGGTGGAAGACTGACTTCATTTGCAAACTACTGGCGAGTCAGCATAGTTTGTATTTAAAATGAAAAAGGAGAAAAATCAATCTGTCAGCACTTTTACCGAGCAATCATTTTCACTCAAGACTGAAATTATTAAAAGACCTTTGCCAGATATCACGACAGTATACTTGAATGCTCCCTAGACTTGGATAAAAGTGTTTTTTCTTTGAGTAACAATCTATTACTGGAAGACAACAGGAACATTTAAATTGATTTAAAAAGTTTGACCTACATTGGGTAAAAAGGACTGTCTGATAAGGGTAACGAAAGAAGGACTGTCTTTGGGTAACGAAAGAAAAAGTTTGGGAAGCGCAGGTGTGCTTTGTCACAAATCTGTTTCTCCTCGTGTGTCATTGCTGAGGATGGCTTCATTAAGCTTCCCTATAAATAACCAGAGCTATCAGCGTGCCTGGCTGAGGAATTCTGGGAGTTGAAGTCCACAAGTCATAACAGAGCCAAGTTTGAAGACCCCTGTCCTAGACCCTTCTCACGTAGGGACTGCTTTGCTTAACAACCAAGCTGTTGGTCCCAGTGAGGTCGCTCAGTGAGGACTACCTATATCCCCATCACAAGATAATATTGCGAGCCATTTGCCATGCATTTCTATGATGCATGTTTCAAACTTTATTTGCAATTCGTAACAGAGGAGGGAAAATAGCCATTCTGATGTTTATCGATCCACAGGCCCTCATAAACATTTGCGCAGATAAACGCATATGTGTGTACACTGATTCATTGCAGGGAATGAAATGGGCACTTTCTTAGATGAAGAACTTTAGGACCATCAATCATCCGGTACAGAAATAAAATAAAACATGGCATGTGATCAAATCCCAAATGAAAAAAAACAACCATTCAGACTGTATTGGGACACAATATAAGTCACCTTGGCTTCAATAATTAGGTTTAATTTCAAGCTCTGAAGTCTGCAAAATATTCTGGGGTCTTACAGCTTTTTTTCTCTCTTTTTAATTGGAAACTTAGGGCTCCAGATAAGCAACTTTTCATGCTAGCAAATATTCCATCCAGAATAGTGATGAATTCCTAGTTCAAAGCAACGGCTTCGCTACCCTCAATCCTTAAGGGTTAAAAGTAAGATGGGAACTTCTCAGTGCAGGAATAGTTTTGTGTTCTCTGGATGTTTGCTACAACCTCTGCTAGTGGTCAGAACAGTCTTAAGGTCTCCACAAAATGTAGACACACTTTAAAATCCTACAATGCATCATCATTCAATAGAAAGCTCTCCTCTACAAGGTTTAAGAAGGCATCAATTGAATTATCCTGATTTAAGCTATAAATAGGACCAAATATTTTCCTTCTTGCTTTTCTTTTTTTTTTCTTTTTTTTTTGGGGGGGGGGTTTGCTTACTTGAAACACATTTTTGGCAGAATAAAAAGGCTTATGGCTTCTTAAGGCCAGAGAACATAGTGAGGTCTAACTTGGTATCCTGTGATAGAAGTAAATATATCCTAGCTCTATGGGTGGCTGTTCCGAGGCACAAACTTTAAGGTCGTTGTAGATAACCCACCTGAAAAGGAGAAAGAAGGAAATGCAGTGAACATTATGAAATTAAATTAAATGGATATGGAACACCTACAACAGCTGGCCCCACTACCACCATCCCCAACATCTTACTTGATTAAGAGCATATGTTGATTTTTCTTATCTGGAGAATTAGGATAAGGAACAAGCAGCAGTCTGACTGCTTCGGACATTTAAAAAACAATTTGTGTTCGGCTCTTAATCCACTTAATCAAAACCACTGCTAACATGGGAGCCAGCCTTGTTTGTTTGTTTGTTCGTTCATTAGTTCATTCATTCATTCAAGAAATGGAATTTTCTGACATGGTTTTCCATAGATGTCTATAGAGATTCTCAGTCATCCAGGTCATGGCTGTCCCAAAAATGCTTTTCCAAAAGGCAGATGGACTGTTCTTTCCTTGAGGAAGAAGAATACGTTTCACTTCTTATCTAAGAAGCTTCATCAGCTCTGACCAAATGGTGGAGGATGAAAGGATTTATATTGCTTGCAGTCATCTGCTCATTAGGCATTCTTTCTGAGAGTCACTGAGGCCACTTAAAGGGAATTTATAAATCCTTCCATTCTCAAAACGTCTTCAAGGAAAAAGACAAGTCCAGCTGCATTTTGAAAAAGGACTTTGGGTTTCCATAGAAGTGCCAATCTCAAAATGTTTGTCCAACATTTGGGCACTGCGTAACATTAGTAACACAAGCAGTAAGGTCACACTACATTACCTTCCTTCCTTTTTCAGATGACAAACATAATGGCCGCTCATGGTGGATGTTCCCATGTGACTGATGAAGCCAAAGAGTTCATATCCTGCCCAAGAAAATATCAAGAGTATAATGAGCAAAGTCATGATGAAGACGGTCCAGAAATATAATAATAATAATAGCAAAGTTGGAAGGGACCTTGGAGGTCATCTAGTCCAACCCTCTGCTCAGGCAGGAAACCCTACACCATTTCGGACAAATGGCTGTCCAGTCTCTTCTTTAAAACTTCCAGTGTTGGAGCATTTACTGCTTCTGGAGGCAGGTTGTTCCACTGGTTAATTGTTCTCACTGTCAGGAAGTTTCTCCTTAGTTCTAGGTTGCTTCTCTCCTTGATTAGTTTCCACCCGTTGCTTCTTGTCCTGCCTTCAGGTGCTTTGGAGAAGAGCTTGACTCCCTCTTCTTTGTGGCAGCCCCTGAGATATTGGAATACTGCTATCATGTCCCCCCTTGTCCTTCTCTTCGTTAAACTAGACATACCCATATCAAGAGTATAATGAGCAAAGTCATGATGAAGACGGTCCAGAAATCTTGCCCACATTCCTATAATAACAATTCCTTAATCAACTAACTCCTGATATTCTTATTGGTCCCCTTTCTTAAAAAATTAATTTCAGGAATAAAATGGACATTTTTGAAAATTGCAAACCCACATGCCAACAGATCACTAAGTATTGCACTGTAGCTTTTCAGAATATATATAAACCCTGCAAATATATTGTCTGTGTGGTTGTCATGAATCAAATCTACTTTAATGCTATTTCCTATAAAAGATGACATAGCATAGAAGCCCTCAGCAATATTCAACCTTTCCTGGACTGCATGCAATATATCTCAGAATATTTTTTTTATATTTCAGACATTTATTATCTCCCTTAAAAGTTCCATAGTTAGGTGCATCAAGCATTTCTTGGTATTCTCAGGTTATTTTGATTGTGCTGCTGCATTAATTGATGCTCAACAAATTTTAACTGCTGTCTAAAAGCTCCATCCTATGGTTTATTTTTCCTGCAAGAGTTATGATGATTAAAAAAATAATGGTTAAAAAAGCAGGGAATGCTGCAAACAAACTGAAGCATGAGGAGAAGATCGTAAAGACCCCTGCCAAAACTCATACATGCATCCTTCAGTAGAGGCCTTTTATGATAGCTATTTTATATTGTTTCAGACCAGTGGTCCATGTCAGCATTTTTTAACGATTTTTGCTGGCTGAGAAGTATTGAGGAAACGCTGAGATCATTCAGTGATGCCAAAGATTGAACTAGGATCATCTAAAAGATTGTTTAACACAGCAAAAACGAAATTTGACATCAAGAAAATATTTAACAGAAAGCAGAAATCCGCCCTGTTCTTTAGTTATTATCATGCGTATAATATATATATGATACGTTCATAGGGATGTAACATTGCAATCACTGGCGTAGTAAAACAAGTGAAAAGTCCGCAAGCATATTGTCCTAACCTAATCTAAAAAAGAAAAAAGAAATGCTAACCACTGTTTTCTTTCCTGCATATTTCTTCAGCTTTTATGCAATCCCAATAGATTATACACAGAGATTCCTATTGGTCAGAACTAACCTGTATTACCTACTTACTTACTTACGGTACTTATTTATGTATTTATTTATTTATTTATTAAATGTCTATGCTGCCCATCTGACTGATGCAGTGACTCTGGGCAGCTTACCCATCGCTGCTCGTTTTATAGCTATTCCAACTGATGCATCTGATATGGATAGAGAAACAATTCATAAGTGTAAACCCATATATTTGGGAAGGGGAAAATGAATAAGTCAGGCAGATTAACATATGTAACGTAGTCGGGAGAAACTTACTTCCTGGTCCATCTTTAATCCGGGGTCCTTCCGGATCAGATTCTGCAAGGATGTTAGCATTCACATGATTTTCTATAGTCATGACCTCAGAAGCTACTTCAGTTTCTTCCTCTGGTTCAGGGTGACTAAAGATCCACTCCAATGCATGTTCCAAGTTATTATTCTTCCAGACAAAATAGCATGGAATAATAAAATAGACAAAGAGCTATCAATATCTTGTCATCACTGTGACAGCATTTTCTCTTAATGAGCTGCTGTTGTTTTCCAAGAATAGACAAGTATACATGCAGGTAATCCTTGAATCATCATGACCAGTGACTTAGTGAATGTTCAAGGTTATGACAGACACCCCCCCCAAAAAAAGGTACTTATTACCTGGATTTGAAGTTCAATGGCTGCCCCCCCTCCCGTGGTCATAGGATTGCATTTGGGGGGGGCTAAGTAACTGGCCCATATTTGCAGCTATGTGCAGCGTTCTGTGGTCACGATTGTGAATTATAGTATTTATTGACAGAAATCAGTGTTTCCTTTTGGTGTTCACAAAAAAACAACAATACCAAAGTAAAGGCCTATTTCAGGCAGTGGGTTCAGTTAATGACCATGACATCTGTTTAATGATCACTGCAAAAAAAATCAGGTCAGTCATATGATGACCCAATGGCATGATTTGACCATACTTTTGTGCTTGGTTATGCTCATTAATTCAGGATTACTTGTATACCATTTTATGGAGGGATTACAACTTGTATAATTGAGGTAAGCATGGTAGCAGAAGAGACCCTGGTTAGGAAAAACTGTACTAGCTTCTTCTCGGGGGGCTGGAGTAGAAGACCTCTAAGGTCCCTTCCTATTCTATTCTATTCTATTCTATTCTATTCTATTCTAATCTAATTCTAATCTAATTCTAATTATATTCTATATTGCAAATAGCATCTACTGTCAATGCCTTCCCATGCCTGATACATCCCAGAAGAGTACCTGAGCATGCAAGTATATACTTAGATGATTTGCATTAAAGCAACAAAAAAATTGTAACATTTTTTAAAGCTAGCATAAGTTGCTTTGCCCTTTAGGCTCTCTGTTCCACTAACATCTTGTCAATATATACTATGAGGGTTTCAATGAATTTTTTTGATAATTTCAAGCCCTGTAAAACAATTAGGACATAAGCAAAACAGAACAAATGAGCACTACTAGACTACAGATACTGTTGAACTACAACCCCCAGCATGCCCTGGGGCTGTTTAAATCTGGAGGGCTTTTTCTAGAGGTGCAATAATACTTGTCTGTGTTACTTAATAACCTGCATTCTCAGTGTGACTCTTAGATAGTCTTGCTATAGCAGTTCCCTAATTCTCAAGGAGAGTCCAGCAAAATATACTGCTTAAACAATACATGTATTCCTCGACCACAATCAAGCTCAAAAGCAAGACATTTGTTAAGCGAATTTTGCCCCATTTTACAACCTTTCTGCCACAGGTGTTAAGTGAACCACTGCAATTGTTAAGTCAGTAACATCGTTGTTAAGTGAATTTGGCTTCCCCATTGACTTTGTTTGTCAGACAGTCACAAAAGTTAACCATGTGACCCCAGGACACCGAAAGCATCATAAAGGCGAACCAATTGCCAAGCATTTGAATTTTGATCAGGTGACCATGGGGAAGCTGCAACGGTCATAAGTGTGAAAAACCAATCATGTCAGTTGATTCAATGTTGTTGTAACTTCGAACACTCACTTGGCAAGTGGTTGTAAATTGAGGACTACCTATACTTTCGTCCGCCCTCTTCCAAGAGGGTCATCATCAATTTAATGATTAACCAAATCTAACTCATACTCTTCCTTGAACGAATTTGCCACTGCTTGATTAAAGTTTTTTTAATTAGTTTATAATGTAAAATACAAAACCAAAAAAGAAAATAGTAAGAAAAATAGGGGTGAGAAAAGGGAAGAGAAAAATGTAGGAAAAGGGGGAAAAAGGGGGAAAAAAGGGCATTGACTTCCGACTCCCATTGGTTCAGTAGAACAAGATAATAACATCAAACTTCAACTTTTTATTTATACATTACAGGATAAACTAGCCATTTCTATAACAACAAACCTGTCTAATGGGTAAAACCCAGAATCAAAGTTTCATTTTTTTCCCACCTCAAGCACAAAGTCCAGAAGCAGTTTCCAAGTAGAAACAAAAGTATATATATATATATATACGATTAAAAAGGTTAAAAATGTGAACCCTAGGGATATTCATAATAAAATATAAAAATGAACACTAGGGTAATAAAAACTAAAGAAGTTTTTAATGGGTTAAAACTATAAAAGTTTTAAAAAGCGCCAAGCTTTCGCCGTCACCTGCCGGCATCCTCAGGGCTGGCGTGCCAGAGAATGAGAAGGTCTTTTTATAGGCGTGCCGAGGTTTGCACTCGGCTCCTTGATCTTGTTATGGGGCCTGATTGGTTCAGCCGTGTGTAGTTGGCCTGCGCTTTTTTTCTCTTCTTAGTTGTATTTTTATCCTCGTCCGTCTCCAGTTCTCCCAACCTCAGATTAGCTGAATGGCAATTCCAGTTATTTCGGCTTGATAACAATCTGGGTAGCACCCGCACCGCCCAACGAACCAGGTGCAATTCGAAAGAAAGGAAGCAAACGCGAGGCACCTTGACCATCCCCGCGGGACTGCCGCAATCCCAGAAGATCAGGGGAGGGACAAGAACCAAGGTCCGGACCCCCGGCTACAAAGAGGAGATGAGGGAAGATACGGCAGGTGGAAATGCGGAGGAATCACCAAACGCAATGGCCTGCCCACACACCAAAAGAAACATCGCAGTTGGTCGGGAAAGGAGGAGAAAACCTCCCCATGTAGCTGGAACGATCAGCTCCTATGAGGACAAACCATGGGAGGTGGTTGATGATGAACCCCTACATACCGTTGGAGAGGAGGAAGGAAAGTCGGAGAGCGGCAGGGGGCGAGAGATCGAGCTGTCATACCCCCTACCTGACGATCCTGAGGACTCCCATAGAACATACGCGAGCGCTTCCAACAAGGTAAAAAAGGGGAGAACTAAGGAAGAACACGGTAACCAGGAGGGACGCGCCCCGATGACTATGCACACACCCCCAGGATTGAGCACTCGGAGTAAGACACGTGCGAGACAGCTGGGCATGACAACGAACAAGAGACGACCCCTCCACCATGCGGAATACCCCCCCACGCTATACCAGACTCGTAACAATTTACGGGATTACCAGGATGATAAACATATTAAAACCGAAAGCATTGAGACCGGAAATATATGGGACTCTAAAAGTAGCAACCGGACAGAACGGGGCGGAGAAAGGAACTTGGAACGTCCACCACCACCCAAGCCTGAGGGGAGATCGGAACATGAAAGCAACCGAAATAACTGGAATTGCCATTCAGCTAATCTGAGGTTGGGAGAACTGGAGACGGACGAGGATAAAAATACAACTAAGAAGAGAAAAAAAGCGCAGGCCAACTACACACGGCTGAACCAATCAGGCCCCATAACAAGATCAAGGAGCCGAGTGCAAACCTCGGCACGCCTATAAAAAGACCTTCTCATTCTCTGGCACGCCAGCCCTGAGGATGCCGGCAGGTGACGGCGAAAGCTTGGCGCTTTTTAAAACTTTTATAGTTTTAACCCATTAAAAACTTCTTTAGTTTTTATTACCCTAGTGTTCATTTTTATATTTTATTATATATATATATATATATATATATATATATATATATATATATATATATATATATATATATATTAATCAAAGCAGTCAGTTTAGCCATCTCTGCTAACTCTATCAACATTTGCAGCCATTCGTTCATTGTGGGAATAACAGTGTCCTTCCATTTTTGTGCATAAAGTTATCTTGTCACAAAGTTGCTGCTGCTAGCAAGAGTCAGAAGACTTGTATAGCTGGGGATGTGACATTAGTTGATTGTCACATTCCTATGGGGTCATAGGGGAGGAAACATCTCCCTTTGGGCTACCAATAAATCCCAAATAATTTTTCAGGAAAACTCACTGCTGCCCGTAGTGCCTGAAGAGCTACATTCCGCTGAAATCCCATAGAGGAAATTATGGCTACCATCTCTTCTGGAGGCTGATTATCCAACCCTGGAGGACCTCCTGACCCTCCTGTTCGCGAAAAGGCCGTTCCCCCATAGCCAGGGATGGGTAAAGGCTCTGCAAAATCTGGAATAAAATGGAAGGTATTCATTAATTCACGTCTATGGGGGTTTTCAGTCATCCAGGTCATGGTTGTCCCAAAGATGCTTTTTCAAGAGGCAACGGGACTTCCTTTGTTTTTCCTTGAAGACGTTTCGCTTCTCATCCAAGAAGCTTCTTCAGTTCTGAACTGAAGAAATTGAAGCAGCTTCTTGGAAACTGAGGAAACTGAAGATGCAGGACATCTTCAAGGAAAAACAAAGAAAGTTCAGTTGCCTCTTGAAAAAAGCACCTTTGGGATATTCATTCATACATACATACATACATACATACATACATACATACATACATACATACATTATACCTGTAGACTGCAAAATCAATGCCCACATGTATTCAAGCAAGGCAAATAATTGATTAGAATTTTTGCCGTTTTCCTCTTGAAATGTCATTCACCTCAACTACTGACATGTTGTCATTGGGAAAATGGTACACTGTGTAAATTATTAAAGAGACCCTTGTACAATTGCAAAAAGAAAAAGGCAGAAATCAGATCTAATGTGGTGACAGACCTTTACCTCGTTGTTGAGTTACATTTTTGTAGGATACCAAGCACGGAAGAATTTGTAAACTGGGGAGAGAGAGAGAGAGACCAGTTTTTCAATTGGAGGCCATTTAAGTATTAAATAAAAATAATGTGAGTCTATGGGTTGGTGACTTATTTCACAGAATTATGTACCAAGTAGGAGGTCTGTTTTTTTTTATGCTGTGTCCGTGGGCTTTCCCATTCATAGTTGCTACTCTTTTCAGGAAGGTTCATGTCAGATCTTTGGGCTAATCTACTGAGTGGTTTTTCTAAAGGACCTTTGTCTGTGACAGTGCAAAACAGGAGACTCTTTCCGCCTTGGTGGACCGGTGGGGGGGGGAGAGGGGATAGTTTTGTGAAAACAATGGGCACCTGCATAGCTCCATTTACACGAGTGGTGGGTGCGCACGCACGCTGCTCACACAAGCTTCGTGCACAAGCGCATTCGCCCACCACACACACAAATGGAGCTGTGCGCACTCACTCACAGTTCTAAAAGGGCCCAGCCCGGTACCAGGCCATGACCCAGGGGTTGGAGACTCCTGTTGTAAAGGAATCAAGATTTGTTTCTAACTTAGTGGAAATACACTTCTTCCCAAGAAGCACAAATATATTTGTTTACAATTGCACAAAATAAAGTAAAAATCCAAATAGCAGACGTGGTTGTCCCAAAGATACTTCACAGAATTAGGATAGGATAGGATAGGATAGGATAGGATAGGATAGGATAGGATAGGATAGGATAGGATAGGATAGGATAGGATAGGATAGGATAGGATAGGAGTAAGAGTAGTGTAGTGTAGTGTAGTGTAGTGTAGTGTAGTGTAGTGTAGAGTAGAGTAGAGTAGAGTAGAGTAGTAGAATAGAATATAGAATAGAATCAATATAGTCTTTGAAGATTTTTGCGTAGCATGCAAGATAGAAGAATGGAGGACTTATTTTGGAAAGAAGTGTTACATGTAAACAAAATTATTGTTCTTAACAATAAAATAACCTGTAGTAAAATATATAGCAACTGCTCAACCTGTACTTTCAGGATATTTTTACAAATAGAAGATATGTGCAGTTTTGACACTAGAATACAATAGAATAACACAGTTGGAAGGGACCTTGGAGATCTTCTAGTCCAACCCCCTGCAAAAAGACTTTCTTGGGTTTTTTTTTCTTTGAAAATGTTTTACTTCTCATCCAAGAAACTTCTTTAGTTCTGACATTTTTAAAGAAAAACCAAGAAAGTCCAGTTGCCTTTTAGAGAAAGCACCTTTGGGACAACCATGACCTGGATGATTGAGAATCTCCACAGACACCAGACCTGGTTCTTCCATGTGTGCAATGATCCAGTTGAAAGCCACCTCGGCACCCATGTTGCCAGTATAGTACACGGCTTTTCGGCATGCTTCCAACGGAAACCCCATCTCTGCTAGCTGCATCACGGAGGATTCATCAAAATCTGGGGCTGAGAGAGAGGACATTCCAGGTGAAAAATGAACTCATCACTTCCCAGTCGATAACCCTGGCTCTTTTATCCCCCAAGACACAAAGACTGCAATTGGCATCAAACTGTGACTCTGCAAAATATTGTAATTGATTTCTTAGTACAAATGTTGTAGCCTTCGCTTGCCGCTGTTTAAAAAAATCATAACCACTGGAGACAGCATGCGATGGAGGTGCAAATTAGAACACAGAAGTTACTCAGAGTGTTCTCCATTCTTTTTCATCTCTTGTATAAGGAACAGCAGGCTGAGTTCAAATGCTCAGTTTTTGCAATGATCAGTATAGGAATCGAACATCAAAAGGAAGAGCTGTTCTTGCAACAGTCTTTGTGCTGTTTGAAGAATAGCAAAGTCAGCACTGAGTGCTGATCTAAATCCCACCTAAAAGCAAGGTTATTAGGCTCTACAAACATCAGCTGAAGCCTTGGCTGTTCTCCATGCAAAACAGTTCCCTAAGCTAAGATACCCCAGGTTTTTTTTGTAATTCTGCATTTTAAAGGTCATACATATTGATGGAGCTCCTGAACTGAAACCATCAGCCAGGGCAAGCATAAATGATAAAGTGAAGCAACACTCTCAGGCTTCAGCTGGTTTAAGTAACGGTTGGATCATAAATACAATTAATCATCTAGGGGAGTCTGCAGTTATGCACAAAGACAAAATTATGCTGCAGTATCAGAGAATTTCGATCTCTGTTCTGTTCACACTTTTAAAGTTTCTAGTTCTCATTAGCATAAAGCTAGATATGAATGCCTGAACCAAAATTAATATTATTCCTCCTCTCTGTCTCTGTTTCTCTCTTTAACGCTGTAGTGACTATTGATTCAGAAGATTTTGCTTTCTACTGATCTGCAAGCATCTCTGATAATATTCTTTTGGTAAAGAAGCAAAAAAAAAAAGTTTAAATAATTGATTAGCAATTGCAAACAAAACACTGATCCCTTGGATTAATCAGCAAATCTCTTAGGTTGCAAAATTAATAAAACAATATTTAAATCTTAAACCTTTAATGATAATATTGTTTAAACTTGTGTTTTGAAGGGATTACAATTTGTTTATTTCAGTGAGGGGATTCTAATAAATTTGTGTTTCGAAGGGAGTATAACTTGTTTAAGTTTCAAGTAATGCTTAAATTTGGTTTTTAAATATTATTATTAATATTTCTAAGAGAAAATAATTTGTTTAATTAAATGTCTAGATTTGTTTAGGAAAGAAAGTAATGTTTAAATCTGTGTTTTTGGAGGAAGTCTATATAGAATGATGATTGTATTTAGACTTGTTTAGGATTTAAAAGTGTTTCAAGTTTTTAAATATTATTATTAATATTTTTAAGAGAAAATAATTTGTTTAGATTTGTTTAGGATTTTTAAGTTTTTTTTTTTTGGATAGGTGAGAAGATTATGAAGATTGAAGGAAATATGTATTTATTTTAAGTTTTCTAAGAGTATTTAGTTTTAATGGTATAACAAAGGTTTATATGTTTATTTTTTTGTATTAGGATAAAGAAAGAGGGAGAAATTAGATTTTATATTATAGGCATAGATATTCAAAGAAAGTAATGTTTAAATTTGCGTTTTTGGAGGGAGTTTATATAGAATGATGATTGTATTTAAATTTGTTTAGGTTTTAAAAGTGTTTTAAGTTTTTTTCTTAATTAAGCCTGTACTTAGCTCTGGGAAGTTCAGGGGAGGGTTTGGGAGGTTGGGGAGGAGGGGGGTGAGGTAGGGTTGGGGGGGGGGTATGGGAAGGGGATTTGTTTTTGTAAAAATTTAAAAATTTTCAATTTAAAAAAAAAAAACAATATTTAAATCAACTACAAGAACATGGAATAATCCAAGATAGGGAACAGCTTTCTCCGGTGTTATTAAGATTCCTTCAAATATCTCAACACAGACCCAGGGCAGGTGGAAAGTTATGGAGGAGAAGAGCACAGTTAAACGAAGAGCTCTCGTGCAGTCTGTAAAGCTTCCGCAAGTCGCAGCAAGTAAGCTCAGCCGTGTCAAACAAAAATAAAACCAACATAAAGAAATGGGATACATACGCTCCATGAAATGGTTCATCATGCCATCTGAAAGTCAAGAAAGTTAGTTAAGGGAGTCCAAAGTATTTTGGAGCGGCAGGAAAATGGAAATTGGCCAGTTCTGCATTTGATATAAATACTAGATCGCCACCTGTAACTTAAAAAACAGATTCTTTGTGGTCCTATCCCAATCTGGTACCCCCAGGCCTGCCATCAGCAAAGTCATTAGCTTTTCCATTTTGGAAGTGGTAAGAACTCTAACCTAAACCAGCTGGAGAAAAAAAAAATACTAGGAAGCCCAAATGAACCTCTCTGACCTTTAGGCAGAATTTAATTTTGTTGAGTCCAACTTTTTCTGTCCACACCTCTTCTGCAGAAACTTTTCTTCTGAGGAGCTAAAGGTAATGTATACACCCCCTTAAGGTATCTGTTTGAATTCCAATCCTGAGCATTGTGTTTGTGGACAATCCATGCATGGCACACACCTTCCTTACTTAGAGTGGTGGAGCTGCTATCTTATGTCAAATCCTCCTACTAGAGGTTCCATGACACCACCCCCCACTCCAGACAAGAGGCTACAGCAGGGGTCCTCAAACTTAGCAACTTTAAAACTTGTGGACTTCAATTCCCAGAATTCCTCAGCCAGCCCTGGCTGGCTGAGGAATTCTGGGAGTTGAAATCCACAAGTCTTAAAGTTGCCAAGTTTGAAGACCCCTGGGCTACAGTATATCAGCAAATATACAGGTCTACAGAGGAATTACTGAGTCTGTCATTTGTACCTCAGTAACTGTCTGGTTTGGCACAGCAATCAAACAGGACAGGTACGGATTTCAACAGATAATTAGGACAGCAGAAAAAACAACTGCAATCACCCTGCTTTCTATTGATGAACCAGTAAGAGGGCTGAGAAAATATCTACAGACCCCCTCACATCCTGGACATAAACTGTTTCAACTCTTCCCCTTAGGATGCTGCTATAGGGCACTGTATGCTGAAACAGCTAGACACAGTTTTTCCCCCCATGTCATCACTCTGCTGAACATTTCATTCCCACAGCAGTGTCTTAAGCCTAAAGATATTTACCCTTATAAGCTGCATTGCTATTATCCTTCTCACCTTCTTCTTCTTCTCATCTTTCCCACTATCTTCTCCTATTGGTATCTTATGATTATTGATTGTAACTATGATTTATGATCTATGACCTATCACTTTGTTGTCTGCATGTATACCGAGAGCTTATGCACTGGAGACAAATTCCTTGTGTGTCCACTCACACTTGGCCAATAAAGAATTCTATATTCTTGTGGTTTTACACATTAATTGACCACCAGGATGCAGGATAATTATCTTGTTGTTCTTTGAATAGATTTCTTCAATTTTGGTTAATGACTTCCCTTTCTTTTGACCTCCAGCCTGCTCCACTTCAATCACAGCTTCAACCTAAAACGGACACAGAACATGCCAAATCCACCAAAGTAAGCGTGACCAATAGATCTCTGTTTACACCAGAGAACCAGGTCTTGGTTCCATCACTGCCTGCTTCTCTTGCAAACAAGACTCCCAATGATCATGTTGTAGCTTGGCATCCATGAAGATGGTCCATGCAAACAGGAAAGGATGCGAAATGACAAGGGAACAAAAAGAATATCAACTAACAGTTGTGATGGAGAATGGTGTGGAGGTAGGAATCCTCATGGTAGTAGGCAGTACCTTTGGGGTCACTGGGAATGATCACAGGTGGAGAGATGTCTGGAAGTTCCTCCTCTCCTGGTTGAAGGCCTGTTGCTCGGAGGTGACTGATGTCCAGAAGATCTGGCATGTCTATAGAAACATCTGTAAGCAAAAGGACAAACGGGAAATTAATTAAATTATTTGGAAATCATCCTAACTGTGAAACTATACACAGTCTATACTCCCAGAATTCCTGAGCCAGCCACTAGTCATAAAAGAGCCAAGATTGTGTACCCCTGGTCTATAACAAAGAAGGAAGAACAAGAACTATGAAACTGTCAGACCTGCCTCAGCCTGAACCTCTAAGAAAAATCCTTAACTCCATTTATCGAGAAAGATATAGTTTACTAGCAGTCAAGTGAATTACAGCAATGTGTAGCCAGTGTCATGGTTCCGATAGAAGAAACCAGAAGAAATAAGAACTCTGAGGAAATTGTTTTCCTCAAAGAACGATTTTAATTACATAATATTAGCACGAACAAAGGTGAAACCGAGACTGAAAGTTACCTCCCCCCAAAAAGTTACAAAGTAAAAGCTGAACTCCCCACCCACTAATGTGTCATAAATCACAATCCCCAATTAACACCTTTGGCGGGCTTCCTAATGGTAGCTCCAGCCCGCCTTAGACTGCTTAACTTGGGTTTCCACAAAAAGGTTATTGTTTTGACTAACTAAAAGAATGCATCTCCCCCCCCTCCCGTTGCTGTGGCAACCTAAAAGTGAAGAAACAGGGCTGTAATCAGAGTGTTTGAAGGTTTGACAGCCAGAACTGAAAATTGTGCACCAAAATCCCCAAGTCTAACTTCTCCCTCTCTTAGTTGCCTCCCGCTGATACTGAATGGTTTTGAAAGGCAAACGTGAGATGGCAGCGACAGAAACAATACAGACCTATCCAGAAAGAATTCTTACAATCTGTTAACTTGGGCCAAAGCCACGGTGGAATAAAGTTGCATAATCCAAGGAAGAAAGGTATTCTGTTTAGCTTTGGGAGAAGCATATTCCAATGCATGGGGCCACTACAAAAAAGGCCCACCACTTAACCCAAGTTTCTGTAAAGTTGAGCTAACACAGACAAGGGTAAGTAAATAAATAAATAAAAAGTAAAGGGTAAGCGAATATATACAAGGGTAAGTACAGGGACTCTTGTTTGGACAGGTGGGTGGAATGGAGGACCCACGAGGCCCCTTCTAACTGTTATTCTGTTATTCTTTCTATGATGGTGTGTATCCATCCCATCAAGCCCAAATAAAATTTGGAGTGGTATAGCATCTCCCGCCATGGGCAGAGTGTTGAACTAGAAGACGTCCAAGTTCCCTTCTGACCCTATTATTTTATATTCTATGTTTCACAAAAGTTCCTCATATGAATCAGAATATGTTGAAATGTGGCAGTCAGAATCTATTTCTGTAGAAAATAGTCATTTGATTCTTTGGGGATGGGGAAATGAACAATTCAATTATTTTTAAAGTGCCTTGGACTTGTAATATTCCCAGGTCATCACCAAACTGAGCTTAAAAAAAAAACATAAAACCATTTTCCAGTATTAACAGAAAAAAGAAACAAGAGGAAATTCCTTGGCTGTCCCAAAGGAGCTTTTTCCAAAAGACAACTGGACTTCCTTGATTTTTCTTCGAAAATGTTCTCATCCATGAAGCATCCATGAACCAGCTGCCTTTTGGAAAAAGCACCTTTGCAACAACCCTCACCTGGATGATTGAGAAACTCAACGATCGAGTTTCTTGGCTATTATCTGGAGGATAAAAGAAACTTTTCCCCCTAAGCAGCCTTGGAGTAGATAAACTTTACAAATGAACACAAGGCAATTCAATATGGAAGACAGCAGTCCAAATACATACCAAGCTTCTTAGGGATCCAATCGAGACCAAAAGTAAATTTCTTGATCTGAACCACCAGGTATTCAGGAAAGGAAGCAAAGAGAGACGTTCTGGAAGTGTAAAGCAATTCCAGGTGAAATTAGAAGATCCAAAACTCAAGATCAGAACCTTCATCATTTTAACAGAACAGCTGAGCTGCTCTTATTGGATCATACACAACAGCCCGCCCATTCCACTATTCTTTTCTACGGGCAGGCAGCCAGATATGTCTGGAAAGCCAAGAAATACGGGTAGTTCTCATCTAGCAACTGCTTCATTTAGCAACCACTTGCAATTACAACAGTGATTAAAAAAAATAATAACTTTATGGCCAGTCCTCCCATTGCAATCGTTGCAGCTCTGTAAAGCAAAGGAAAGCTGAAATCAGATGATAAGCACTGCTGGGATTTCACTTAGCATTTATTAATTGAATTGCCACTCCAGACTGTCATCACTAGATCAAGATCCCTCTCCCACTGCTTCTCCACCATCTGGTAAGAGTAACCGTTATCTTATTTTTACCAGATGGCTAAGCCAAAGTAACAAAGTCTCAGCGTACTATCAGATTTAATACGTATATTTTTATAAGGTCTGTTTTGTAGTCTCTGAAATCATCTCCAGAACGAGAATAGAATTCCTTCCACTTCGTCCCAAGGAAAGACTCAAAACTCAAGTGACTGAAGAGACAGCAGAAAGCGTGTAATGCTACTATACAGAGAACAAACGAATAAATGAAGGATCCTGGCAGATTTTTGTAAGTAAATGGAATTATTTGTGGATTTGCTATGTCAGAAGACACAAAGAGTAGGGAAAAAATGGATAATGGAAGGTTATTCCCCAAGGGCAATTTTTTTTTACTTATAAATAATCTAATGGGAAGTATATTTTGGATAACTGAGGAGCCTGAAGCAACTTCCTATGAGATGGCTATCCTTGAAGCTTTTAAACTTAGGAAAAAAAATAAGGGATATTTTAAACATATAAAGAATGTTGTAGAGAAGGAAGGAACTTCCTCCAAGCTCTAGAATCGTGAAGGAGAATCAGGATCCATAAAAGGCAACAGTTTTTCACAAATTTAAGATTTCATGGCTTTAACAAAAAGGATAAGCCAAGTTCATGGAAGCTCTCCATAACTATCCATGCCATCTCCAAGGATCAGAATCAGCACATTTCTGAATACTAGTTTAGTTATGTTTTTAAGCACTCAGGAAGTAAGCAGCATACAAATAGAAATTGCATGTACCTATAAATAAATAAATAAATATCCGTGTAATTGCAACTAGTTGGCCAATGTGAAACTCAGTATGTCTATGCGTATCTCATCTGTCCTGTCCCATCCCATGAATGACTGAGTTAACAACCAACTGCACAAAGTGAAAATACAGGTAATCCTCAATTTAGGACTGGTCAAAATTATGACAGACTTCCCCCAAGGCTGCTTATGAACCAGATTTAAAATTCCAATGGTCGCCCTATCTGGTAGTCATATGATCGCACTTTGGGTGCTGGCAACAAGCCCACTTTTACAGCTGTTTGCAGTGTCCCATGGTTACCAACTGCAATTTAGGTTTGGGGTGGTTGTTTTTTTTCCTGGAAATTAGTGTTTTCCTTCCGGTTTCCAGCAAAAACACCCATTGCAAAAAATGGGTTTGACTTAATGACCACCACAAGTCATTTGATGACCTGTTTAATGACCAGCACAACTTATATCTATAATTCCAGGCTCAATTATGATCATATATTACTGTAATATATTTAAAAAGACAAGAATAAATACCAGAGTTGTTTAGGCGAATGAGTCAGCCAATACACTGATTAAATGTATTAAATAAACAATTAAAAGCATGGATGACTATAACACTATAAAAAAGACAACAATGAGTACCAGAATTGCTTAGCCAAATGAGTTAGCTAGTACACTGATTAAATGCATTAAATAAATAAATAAAAGCATGGATGACTATAACACTAAACACAGGGCTGAATGCCCACTCGAATAACATTGCTTTGATCTGCATACAAAATGCCAACAAGGGCACAGGCAATCTATAGCTTGGGATGGTGAGGGGAGCATACTCAATCAAGTCAATTCCGTAAAGCAATCTCATATGTAGTCCCATTTCTTTAACTCAAATACTGTTTGTCTCGCTTCCTAAACAATTCTCAAGGCTGCACCTGAAAATCCTTATCAGCATAATGGGCCTGACAAATGCAACTTGTCTATTCCATCATGTCTGATATAATGGGTATGCTTACCCATGTTCAAACAAATGTGGATACTATAGGAGTAGGAATGGCAGAACCTGGGGGCAGAGTCAAAAGAGGAATCAGCCTAGAATTCCTACATAGCCACAAGCGAGCTAAGTCCAACCTCCCCAGCAATCCCGCTGATCATTATCTAACTCTGAAATCGATTGTCCGTTAGTTGACAATATTGCTATGCATAGGGATGATTAAATAAATAAATCAGTTTCATTGGAGCTTCACGTGCGGATCTGATCTCTTGTGCCTGACCCATACTTACTTAACGCCAGCAGACTTGGCTTGAAGGGCGCTGCTCCAGAAGTCCTCTACATTTTCTGGTTCAGAAAAGGCCTGGAGACAAGCACTGAAAGGGATCCTTGCCCGGACCACTTCTGGTGGGGGCCTCCTTGCTGTTTCTGCTTCTCTTCTCTTCAATTCATAGGCAATCAATTCATCTAATCAGAAGAACAAGTGAATAAATGCCGTACATCTATTGAAAGTCAGGCGTGGGCTCAGTTGATGGCAAATGAACATGAGAAATGACTCCACCGACAACATTTTGCATCTAAGAGTGGATCGCATGGAATTTGGTCAAATTTCTGACTTCAATGCTGGATCTACAGCAGATTGTTCAAATGCAAGGCACTCGGGAGACTGAGCTTGGATTTCCAAGGTATGCATCCCTGAATTATACCTGAATGATAGACAATTTGTACACGTGAGGCTCTTCCACTTTACCTTTGTTTGTTGCAGCTTCCATTGCTACAGGCAATTGCATGAGATACTCCACTCTCTCCGTGTAGCGTACTTTTCTGGTCTGGCAGCACTGCGTCCGTTCTTCAACCAAGAAACGGAAGACATCGCTGGGGTTTTCTGAGCCAATCCGGTTTCTCTGAAAAGAAAACTGTGACATGTAAGCCACCATTTTGATTGGGAGTTGCCCAGAGTTGGTTATGAAATGGATGGCTACATCTACGGTTTAAATAAAGAAATCAATAAATAACGGCAACACAATTGTTGTTGACTATCCCAGGTCCTTCAGGAAAACTATTGTTGATTATCCCAGGTCATCCAAGAAGGTTTTTTTTACAACTAGAGTTTCAAGAAAAGTAATATATCGGCTTGGGGAAAGATTGCAAAACCCAAACAATTCCCATGCCACCATCGCAAGCCTTAGTAAATCAGAATTAAGGCAAGTAATGAAAGTCCCACAATTTCTACAACCCGGAACTCTCAAAATCCTAGCTGAGGATATTGAATTTGTTGTTTGAGACATCTCAAGGGATGTCAAGCTGTGGAAAGCTGTAATACCTTGTCAAATTGCACTTTCATGGTTCTAGAAATAGATACATCTACCTCTGGAGATACTAGATTAAGGATTTGTGCATAGAAAAAACAACAACAACACACAAAGCACCAGGGAAGTAAAACTTAGCTTTATATTCTCCACTGAGGGAAAAAAGCTTCAAAGATATCAGTCAGCATTTAACAGTACAGAAGTTCCCTCTCTCTTAAATGTATACTGCTCAATTTTTCAAAAAAATATTTTGTATGAAAACCAATAAAAGCTTAATAACTTGAAAGCTCATTGATTTCAGCAGGGAACTCCAAGTGAAATCAATAAAGGTTGGAAATGTTTAAGATCAGCTGGAGTGTATTCTATGTTTGTAGATCATTTATCAATAAAAGGCATTCTACGAGTCACCTCTTTATGGTTGTCTGAATTTTGTAATAAACCTGATCATATACCAGTATGAAATAAAGACATTGGAGAATTTGGATTGCAAACCGCCCCAGGAGATTGAATATCAGAACATATCACAATTTAAAATATAGCGTAGGATTTCTTTATATCCCAAAATTGCCTACCGAACATGGTGCCCTCCTTTTTTTAAAAAAAAAAAAATACTCTGAAGGATTCTGGGAGCTGAAGTCCAACACAACTGCATTATCATTAGCATCAGCTGTGATTTTTTTTAAAAAAATAATTTAATAATTACTCTTATCCAGTAAAGAACTGGCAAATCTCATTTCAAAAAAGCAAGTGAAAAAAAAATGAGACCACAGAGAGGAAACAAGTCATTCAGAAAAGGCATACAAGACAGTCTATTTCAGGGGTGTCAAACTCACAATGTCACGTGACATGTCATGACGTATCGTGACTTTTTTGCCATTTCCGGCAATGGGGTGGGCGTGGTTTCGCTATGATGCATCCGGCCCATGGGCTGGCAGTTTAACACCTCTGGTCTATTTAGTACCAATAGAAAGGGATATTTGTAGCTATTCGGTCCTTGGTACTTTCTGAGCTTGGTTATTTTCTTCCAGACGTTTCAAGACCCAACTAGGTAACATAATCAGTACTAAGAGAGTGTGGTTTGCTCTGTTTACATACAAATAAATGTTGGTAGTAGTTCTTGGTAGTTCCTTGAATAGGCTCTTCTTTACTGTTGGATTCTTTATCTGAGTTGGTAGTTCCTTGATTAGGATACTGTTAACTACCAACTCAGACCTCACAGTCTGCCTGATTCTACCAGTTCTGAAGGTTGAGAAATTAATTCCTTCGCTGAACTAAATCTTTCTTTCAAGAATTCTAGAATTAGAAGCCATCCTCTGTATGCTAATCTGCAACCTTAATAATAATAATAATAATAATAATAACAATAATAATAATAAAGTTGGAAGGGACCTTGGAGGTCATCTAGTCCAACCCCCTGCTCAGGCAGGAAACCCTATACCATTTCGGACAAATGGCTGTCCAGTCTCTTCTTAAAAACTTCCAGTGTTGGAGCATTCACAGCTTCTGGAGGCCGGTTGTTCCACTGGTTAATTGTTCTGTCAGGAAGTTTCTCCTTAGTTCTAGGTTGCTTCTCTCCTTGATTAGTTTCCATCCGTTGCTTCTTGTCCTGCCTTCAGGCGCTTTGGAGAATAGCTTGACTCCCTCTTCTTTGTGGCAGCTCCTGAGATATTGGAACACTGCTATCATGTCCCCCCTCGTCCTTCTCTTCATTAAACTAGACATACCCAATTCCAGCAACCATTCCTTATATGTTTTAGCCTCCAGTCCCCTGATCATCTTTGTTGCTCTTTTCTGCACTCTTTCTAGAGTCTCAACATCTTTTTTACATTGCGGTGACCAAAACTGGATGCAGTATTCCAAGTGTGGCCTTACCAAGGCATTGTAAAGTGGTATTAATACTTCACGTGATCTTGATTCTGCCCCTTGTTAATGCAGCCCAGCGCTGTGTCGACTTTTTTGAGATCTTTACCATTTCCCCCCTCAAATGTATACTGATTTCCTCTATGTGCTGCAGAATTTCCCAATATCCATTCCTAACATGAGGAAACTCCTGTTAACAACTTGCTGTTCAGACTGAAGCTTAGCTCAGCTCATGACAGAAGAAATAACGGGTGTGTTGAGGAGGGAAAGCATGTTCTTCACAGGAAGAACATTAAGGAAAATAAATTGCTCCTGCTACAAAATGCCCTAATATTTACTATTTGAAAAAAAAAAAGCCAACAGAACTATACACAAAACCCAAATTCTGATGAATATATATATACAGTTGACAAAGTGAGAAAGAGCCTGTGGCCTAGAGGTTAATACAGCTGCCTAACATGCACACAGCCCAGGTTCGAATCTCAGAAGGGTATGTCTGGCTGAAGAGAGTTAAGAAGAGATTAGTCTTCCTAATATCTACCAGTACTAAGATATCTACAGTACCAAGTCCTTGAAATTTCTTCTAGTTGGATCCTATATGGGCTTCTACAAGAATTGAAATTCAAAGATCTCCTTAACCAGAAACCTGATAGTTGGTACCACATTTATCTATAAATAAAACTTCTAAATGTTTGTGCAAGGTTGGCTGGTATTATCTTTTGCTAGCTTGTTCATGTGAAAAAAGACATTAACATTTGCTCACCTCTATCAGGTTGATAAGGTGCAAAAAAAATTCTAGTGCATCCTGTTGCCGAATGGAGGAAAATTCGGGGTGCCCTTTGCTTACAAAAGCTTTGAACATGCGTGGAGAAATACCATTGTGCTGAGGCTGAAACACAAAGCGAGAAGGAAAAGAAAAGCGGCTAAATACATTTTCAAAATATATTTCTGAATATGGCAGAAATGGCATAACTATTTTGAACCTTTATTTTCAGTATAACTCTGACAAAAAAAAAATATTAGTTTCATTTTCTCCAAAAGGCAACTTGTTGTGCCCATATTTCAACGTGCTCTTTCCTTTCTGCATCAAGACCATCTGCTATGGTCGTAAGTGAGAAAAATGGTCATAAGTCACTTTTTCCCATGCTGTTGTAACTTCAAACAGTCACTAAATGAACTGTTGTAAGTCGAGGACTACCTGTATACATATGAAAATCAATTATTGAAGACCAAGGTACAGGTGGTCCTTCACTTACAAGAAGAATTTGGGCCAGAATTTCCCTTGCTAAGCAAGGCTGTTGTTAAATCGGTCATGCCCAATTTTATGACCTTTTTTGCCATGGTTGTTAAGCGAAACACTGCAGTTGTTGAGTGAATCACATGGCCATTCAGCGAATCTGATATCTGACTCTGAATCTGGCTTCCCCCATTGACCTTGTTTGTCAGAAGCCATCTGGGAAGATTGCAAACGGTGATCGTGTGACCCCACCCGCCCCCAAAACACCACAACCATTGTCAATACATTTATTTATTTATTTGTTTATTTATTTATTTATTTATTTATGAGACTTATATACCGCTTTAAGTGCAAGCACTCTCTAAGCGGTGTACACCAGTAAGCAATGTATATATATATTTACATTGCCCCCAACAATCTGGGTCCTCATTTTACCTACCTCAGAAGGATGGAAGGCTGAGTCAACCTTGAGCCGATGAGATTTGAACCACTGACCTGCTGAACACAGTCAGCTAAAGTGGCCTGCAGTACCTGCACTCTAACTGCTGCGCCACCTCGGCTCATGCCAGTTGCCCAGCCACCCATGAGACTGTGGGACGCTATGACAGTAGTAAGTGCGAGAACTGGTCTTAAGTCACTTTTTCCAGTGCTGTTATAACTTTGAACAGTTGCTAAATAAATGATTGTAAATTGCGTTTGGCAGGGAAAATGGAGAAAATGAGTGTAGTAACTTAAATATAAATGCCCCCCAAAAACCCTAGAGCAATGATGGCGAACCCTTTAGAGACCGAGTGCCCAAACTGCAAGCCAAAACCCACTTATTTATCACCGGGTGCCAGGTGGGCATGGCCCACTGGATGGGCATGGCTGTGGTGGTCATGGCAGATTGGGTGGGTGTGACCAAGGTAGGCGTGATCACCTTGATGTTGCTCATGGGGAGGGACAACTGTGAGGGGTAGGAAGGGTAGGGGGAGCTCCAGGAGGTCTCTGGCAGGTGCGGTAGTAGGCAGGAGGCTCGTCCTGCGGGATGAGGCAAGGTAGGAGTGCGGGATGAGGCGGGCAGGAGTGCCATTGCCATGGGGCAAGGCAAGGGCCAGGGCGGTGGCTGCCTGACACCATCGGGCCCTGCACACAGAGGCCAGTGAGCGCATGGGGGCCGACAGTGTCCATCAGCAGCCACAGCCTGTCCGCCCCTTGACCAGCGCACTCTGGGGCTCTGCAGCCCTCTGCCAGCATTTCAAAGAAATTGCCTCTGAGCTGGATGGCCAGCCGACAGCTGAGGAGGCAATGCAGTGGGTCGTGCCCGGGAAAAGGAGAGCATGTGAGGTCAGGAGGGACGGGATGGGATGGGGGGGAGGAAAACCAGTCTTGCCCGGATGCATTTGGCCCCGCGGGCAGCTGATTGAAGAGGAACAGTTGCCATCTCCAGGGCATGGCACGCGTGCCCACAGAGAGGGCTCTAAGTGCCGCCTCTGGCACGCATGCCATAGGTTCGCCACCACTGCCCTAGAGGAAGTAGGTGAATTGTGCACTTTGGCAACAAATCTGTTAAAGGCAGAAAATGGAGAAAAATTAAGTTGTGTCATTGCATCATTTTGTTTCTTGGAGACTCTTGGCTTTTGCCAGAATTGGAATAATTTGTTGTATGTCCCTTCCTCTCTCATACATAACTTTCTTATGCACCCATACACACAACTACAATGCTTAGCATGCCTCAGTCAAAGATGTATTGTTTGAAAGGTGCTGTAGTATAACTATATCTCGGCTGTTACCTAAATGAAAATTGTAATTCTCCTCTTTCAGCCCATTAATTTGATTTCTTCTTGTCTTACACTTATGCTTTAAGGAAAGCAAAGGAGATTAAAAATGACAAACATCTATCTATCTATCTATCTATCTATCTATCTATCTATCTATCTATCTATCTATCTATCTATCTGTGTCTGTCTATCTGTCTGTCTGTCTGTCTATCTATCTATCCTATCTATGGAGATTCTCAGTCATCCAGTCATAGTTATCCCAAAAGTGCTTTTTCACGAGGCAACTGAGCTTTCTTGTTTTTCTTTGAAGATGTTTCGTTCTCATCCAAGAAGCTTCTCCAGCTCTGACCATCGTCAGCTCCCCACCCTCCAGTCAGAGCTGAAGAAGCTTCTTGGATGAGAAGCAAAATGTCTTCAAAGACATTTAGGCAAGAAAAACCAAATGTACAGGTATAGTATAGGGGGTACCTTGCCCAATAGTAGTAACTGTGAGAGGGATCTTGGAGTCCTAGTACACAATCACTTAAATATGAGCCAGCACTGTGCTGCAGCTGCCAAAAAAGCCAACACAGTGCTGGGCTGCATTAACAGAGGGAGAAAATCAAGATCACATCAAGTATTAATACCACTTTACAATGCCTTGGTAAGGCCACACTTGGAATACTGCATCCAGTTTTGGTCACCACGATGTAAAAAAGATGTTGAGACTCTAGAAAGAGTACAGAGAAGAGCAACAAAGATGATTAGGGGACTGGAGGCTAAAACATATAAGGAATGGTTGCTGGAATTGGGTATGTCTAGTTTAATGAAGACAAGGACGAGGGGGGACATGATAGCAGTGTTCCAATATCTCAGGGGCTGCCACAAAGAAGAAGGAGTCAAGCTATTCTCCGAGGTGCCTGAAGGCAGGACGAGAAGCAACGGATGGAAACTGATCAAGGAGAGAAGCAACCTAGAACTAAGGAGAAACTTCCTGACAGTGAGAACAATTAACCAGTGGAACAATCTGCCTCCAGAAGCAGTGAATGCTCCAACACTGGAAGTTCTTAAGAAGAGACTGGACAGCCATTTTTCTGAAATGGTGTAGGGTTCCTGCCTGAGCAGGGGGTTGGACTCGATGACCTCCCAGGTCCCTTCCATCTTTTTTATTATTATTATTGATCATCGCACAGTCAGCCAGATGTTCAGACTGGATTTGGCATTTTGTCTACTTATCGAATCCTTACCCAGGACCTGGGATAGGCAGATGTGGATGTTTGATGGTATTACAGATATCGTCGCAGGATGGAAGCAGTTCCTAGGAAGGCCGCCTTTTGCAATTGATTAATAGCGAATTTGTCAATGCCAATGGTGTTCAAGTGGTGCTCCAGTTGTTTTGGGATTGCACCCAAGGAGCCTATCACTATTGGTACTATCCTTGCTTGCTTTTGCCACAGTCTTTCTATTTCTATTTGTAGGTCTTTGTATTATTATTATTATATTGGAGATCATCGCACAGTCAGCCAGATGTTCAGACTGGATTTGGCATTTTGTCTACCTATCGAGTCCTTACCCAGGACCTGGGATAGGCAGATGTGGATGTTTGATGGTATTACAGGTATCATCGCAGGATGGAAGCAGTTCCTATAAGGCCGCCTTTTGCAATTGACTAATAGCGAATTTATCAATGCCAATGGTGTTCAAGTGGTGCTCCAGTTGTTTTGGGATTGCACCCAAAGAGCCTATTACTATTGGTACTACCCTTGCTTGCTTTTGCCACAGTCTTTCTATTTCTATTTGTAGTCTTTGTATTTTGTTATCTTCTCCAGTTCTTTCTCGTCTATTCTGCTGTCTCCAGGCACTGCCACATCCACTATCCAGACTTTTTTGTCTTTCTTATCGACAATTGTTAAGTCTGGGGTGTTATGTTGCAGGTGCTTGTCTGTTTGAATTCTGAAGTCCCAGAGCAGTTTAATTTTATCATTTCTATGACTTTCTCTATTTTATGATCCCACCAGTTTTTGCTTACAGGCAAATGATATTTTTTGCAGATCTTCCAATGCACCATTGTTGCTACTTTGTCATGCCACTGCTTGTAATCCGTCTGTGCAATCTTCTTGCAACAGCTTACCAAGTGGTCCACTGTTTCTTCAGCTTCTTTGCATAGGCGGCCCTTACTGTCTGTTGCTGTCTTCTCAATTTTGACTTTGTATGCATTTGTCCTTAAGGCTTGGTCTTGTGCAGCCAGAATTAATCCCTCGGTCTCTTTCTTCAATTTTCCTGCTCTTAGCCATTGCCAGGTTTATTATTATCTGCTTTCCCAGCTATTTTTTTAATGTATTGGCCATGTAGTGCTTTGTCTTCCCATGCCTCTATTCTGTTCTTCATTTGGTCTTTCTTGTAGGCCAGTTTGGTCTCTCCAGTAGTTAGTAAGCCTTCCTGATATACTAATTTCAGTGCATCTTCATCATTGTTCTTCAGATATTCTTCCAAAGCCATTTTTTCTTCTTCAACCATCTGATATTATTATTATTATTATTATTATTATTATTATTATTATTATTATTAAAATAAGAAAGTCCAGTTGCTTCCTGTAAAAGCATTTTTGAGATACCTAATCTATCCTTCCTTCCTTTTCTTCCTTTTTCTTTTCTTAACTATGCTTTCTCCAAATTTTCTATCCTAATTCCTTAAGGGGACAGATATCCCATTATGGTCAAGCTACCAACCTCCCAAAACCTGAACATGTTATGACAGATTTCAGCATCCAGATGACTATCTATGCATATTTATGTACAGAAATAGAAAAACCTGGCCATGCCTTCCTCGTCAACAGTTACAAAACAGCATAGCTAAAAATAAGATGAGGTGGATTATTCAACCTTTCACACAGATAATTTAGGCAGGAGGCGC